GAGGAGACATTGATTCTAACAATGGCTATATTTTTGCTTTACACATTTGTTCCATCATAAAGTTTTAGGAAATTATTGTTCTTCTCCCTTAGAGTTATGATACAGCTAATTGCAGGGCAATAGAACCTGTTTACCAGTTAGCTACAGAGACAGTGACAGTACTGGGAGCAACAGCTACCTCTCTCTGTTCATCCTCCATTGCACCCAGCTGTTTTTCCTTGCTAACAGATGCCTTCAAGTGTCTTCAAATGACTTCAAGTTTCTGTCTTGGGTTGAAAGTTAATGCCATACAGAAATGCGCCTGGAAGTTTCCTATTCTTGTGAAATAAGTGTCCATTTTTCAAACTTATTCTTGAGATGCTTAAGAATTTATTTCATGTTTCTCTTGTTGGTGTTTCTAAGCTTAGTTGTTATTGGTGGCACAATTCTTTTGGCTTTGTTACATGTCTTTCTGTCACTTTTAAGTTCCCTTGGTGAGCATGGTGGCTCATGTGGTTAGGATGCTAGGTTGGCGGTTAGCAAATGTATGTTCAAGACCCAGCTGCTGCTGTGGGGCAGGCTGAGCTCCCATCACTCACTCCAGTTCCTTGACACGAAAGGAGCCCCCACAGATATCCCCCAGGCAACAGGGATGTTACCAGCCAGTGGCGTAGCATGGGTTGTCAGCACCCGGGGCAAGTAATTTGCGCCCCCCTCCACAGTGGGCGGCGTCGGCGACCCGGCGGCTCGGATCGGATTCGCACAGCCAGCACTGCAGAGAGAGTGAGTGAGCCAGGCAGGGGCAGAGAGCTGCGAGTGCGAGCGCGCCCCCCCAGATGTTGTGCCTGGTGCGGCCGGGCCCTCCTGCACCCCCTACGCTACGCCTCTGTTACCAGCTAATCCTTTCAACCTGGAAGCACCTTAAAAGGTGACTCTAACACGAACAGGAACGGTAACTTTCCTTGTTGCCCACATTTCCCAAGCTGAACCCAGTGGAACTTCAGATTAACTGATATATGGGAAGGAAATCGATACTGAAAGTAGAATAATAATGACATCCAAGTTCCTTGAAAGTACATCACACTCTATTCCAAATATTTCACCAAATTTCTCTTGCCTTTTAAAAGGCATTTTGGAAATGAATTATGTTTCATTAAAGGGAGAAAGTATTTCTTTCTTTTGCACCATGATGGTAAAAAAACTTAAGTAGACAAAATCTATTGAGTTGTATCAACAAAATCTACTAGACATTATTCAAGCAAAGTTAAACATTTTGCTGTTCCTGTTGATAAAAATATGGATTTAACCATCAAGCACAGATTGGACCAATATCATTGGCAGGCAACCAGTTTCTGCTAGTCATTAGGCAAAGCTTCCTCATGATAAAAAATGTTCAAAGCATGGAATAGTTTTTAATTGTTATGAACGGGCAGAAACTGGATTGACAGATGTTAGAGATTTATAAATGTGGTTAGAAATTCCGAGATTCAGAAGAGAGTTTGCCCAAAATGACTTCTTAAATATTGTTTTAGGATCGAATTCCTACAGCATACTATGCTGCAGTGTGCCTTACTTGATCTTGGCTTAGTGATGTATGAATTCTGTCCCTATGGTTTTGGTCTAGAGAAAATGACAGTCTATTGCTATTTATTCAAAAGTAGAATCAAACAAACCATGGTTTGGTGCAATGGGTGAATCTGATTTATGATCCTATTAACATTATGACTAAGAAGAAATCCAATTATGCTGTCATAAGCAGGAATACATTTTTTTTATTTTCTACTGAATATAAAAATAAAGGCAACCTCTTACTATACCTTCCATCTTAATTGCTTTACTCATTCTGGTTTTCTCTGTACAATATTTGTTTTTCATTTGTTTGTTTAACTTTTACCATAACATGAAAGTATCAGTTAAATAAAAAAATTAAATTTGATTTCTATGCACGAGTAAGATTCTAGCAAAAGAATAACATTAAAATAGAAAACAATTGTAAATTGATTTTTTTCTATGCACAAGTAAGATTCTAGCAAAAGAATAACATTAAAATAGAAAACAATTGTAAATTGATTTTTTTCTGATCTATATTTCATCTGTTATTATTCTATAATGGAAAGATCTAAAAGGTTTTCAATCCAATTTTGACTTCAAAGCACAGAATATGATTTCCAAAACCATAAATCAATATGTTTTCCTACAAACAAGTTCTGAAAGTAGAAAAAAAAGTATTGTTATCTTTTATAATTTTTTTTGTATTTTCAGATTGCAAGGACATACTCCAGAATAAGGCAATTGAATTAAAATTCTGATTTTAACACTGAATAAAAATTATCATTGTCGCCATTTTAAAAGACAGAATTGTAATTAATTGGATCAGAATCTCTTGTAACCTCAAATCATCGCTATCTCCTTGCTTTTGTTTGATGATTTTTTTATGTGGTGTGTATGTGTTAGTTTTCAAAATACTTATATCCAGATGTCTTTTGGAAGATCAAAAGTATGATGAATAGTCTTCTATAATGGATCAAGGATGCAATTAGGTATTTAAGCACAGTCTTCCACTGTATTTACATAATATATTCTGAATCACGAATCCAATTAGAACTTAAATAGTTCATGTTAGGGTTGAGACTATCTATGATTTTATGACATTTAGTACTGGAGTTTCTGTACTAGCTTGCATATCATAATTTGTAATATTCCTAAATCTATTTTATCATATCAATATTGTGCTATATTAGTGTATAAAGTATGTAAATCTACACGTGCATGGAAAAATAATTGTTGGGTCTAAGCAACTAATCTGGTTAAAATTCTGCAACTGTCTCAATTTTCTTTACATATTAAAAGAACAATTTAACAAAGAAATGAAAAATATCACTCCATGGTAGCTTTATATAACACATATGACAGTTGTCCATTCTTGAGCACTTAGCCAAGAAGCTTGTCTGAAGGGCGCCTGCTCTCAGAATGGGCACAAGTACACATTAGATGGAAAGGCTTTCCTGGCCACAGTTGCCACTGCTTTGGACAAATTTCAAATGTTGGATTTCTCCATAAAAGTCACATGTGATTTGCACTACCTATCAAAGACAAAATGACTAAGGCACATATTGAATCATACATAAAGAAATATGACTCTCCTAGCCGTTGATAACTCCATTCAGACTGTCTAGATTTGTATGCAGTGACATTCAGCAGTTTGAACTAAAGCTATAATCTTCTATATTTCAAACATGATCTCTTTCACCACGCTCTGTTTGCTGTTTAGGCCTTTCACATTATCTAATGCCACAACTCAAATTTATTATAAGGGGACTTTCGGCCAAAGGGCTGAATAGAACCAGGCAGACTTCACTATCCAAGTGATAAGGCCTTAAGCAAGAACTTTTCTGTTTCCTCCAGCCTTTTGTACCTCAAAACCTGAACTTTTATTTTCCTGTATGGTCTGCCACACATAAAGGAAAGTGCTAATTTTCTATGATTGTATAACTGGGAGTCATTCTTCCTCTTCCCTTTGTCCCTTTTATACATGCAGATGCTTTCCAAGAATTCTGGGACCAATATTGATCTTGCTTCCCCTTCATGAGAGTGCGTCATCATCCAGCCTTGAACCCAAAGAAACATGCAGTAGAAATGCAAAGGCTTCTGGAAGAAGATGTGTTTTCTTCCCCAAGTCCTACCCCGTGGCTTTAATTTCGCTCACTAGAGAAATTAGCTACCTTGAAAATAGCTGTTAGTAACTGTGTGTGACCCTGACTTGTGCAAAGCACACTAAAGGAAATAGGCCTAATTGCATAAGGAAATAATTTCTCCTTGAAGCATTAAAGCAGCCATGGTCCTCTAGCTAGCAAATGGCTTCAGAGGAGTTCTCCTATAGCAGGGGTGGGCGTGGTTTTGGCGTGATGCATCCGGCCCGCAGGCTGGCAGTTTGACATGATGCCTCAGATGCCTCATTTCCGGTGGCGGTTTGGTGGCCAATCTTTTCATAGGAGGTGGGGCAAAACCAGAGGAGGAGGAGGAGGAAGGAAAAGACAAAGAAGGAGGAGGCACAGATACAGATGGAGGAGAAAAAATGTAATTACTAACCTTAGATTGGGGAAAAAGTCGCTATACATCGCGTGACGTCACATGACGTCGTGAATTTGACATGCCTGTCCTATAGGTATGCAAGTAAGCATTCACAAAGATCACTTCTTTGGGAACTAATTAGGATTATGCAATGCTTTGGATTCAAAGGCAAAAAAAACACCCCTTCTGCGTCTTTTTTCAAGATTGTACAGCTACTTGCTGCTGTGCAGTGCTGGGGAAAGAGGCATTTAGTATCAGAAGTTGCAGACAGATCAGTATGAGTGCCCTTCAAGAATCTCTTGTTATTGAATCCAAAGCACTGCTAACCTATTTAGGTGTTTATGTCTTTTGTAACTGGCAATTGCTAATAAAATAAGAAATGAAAACAACAATAGCAACAGCAATGAACGAAAGTTATTTTACAGTCTAAGAGGGAGTTTTCATTTTATTTATCAAATTGTAGGGTTTTCTACATTTTTGCACTTTATCTAAAGATCATATAAACAGAGACATTGGTATTATGCAAATGTAATATAAAACTAATAAGAGAAGTCCATTAAAAATCTTTTCTGGACAAAACTCATAATCAATAGACTATTGAAAGGACCTTTTCATTTTTTTCCCAGTTAAGTACTTTGGTGTCAATAAAAAATATCAAAAATTAAAAATACAAATTCTTCTAGAAGCTATCTTTATTTGAAATATGTTCTTCTTCTGAATCAGTAATAACTCTTTAAACATTACCTCCATGCATTCATCTTGTTGTTCATAGTCAACTTTGTGTCTGTTTTCTTCCTATTTGCTCCCTGGATTGTTACACACAAACTGCCAGATAAGCAAAACTTGGCAACAGTTTTTCCAAGAGACGTTTCAGAGGCTGTAAATCAGACAGAAGTGATGCTATTTTTCTCTTGCTAAGGGAAATGAATTTTCTGTCTCTTTTCCTTTAGAGAGCTGATATAGGCATTTCTGCATTAACTATTACACCAGATCGGGAAAACGTGGTTGATTTTACAACTCGCTACATGGACTACTCAGTGGGAGTCTTGCTGCAAAAGGCTGAAAAGACCATGGATATGTTTGCTTGTTTGGCACCATTTGACCTCTCCCTCTGGGCTTGTATAGCTGGCACAGTCCTGCTTGTAGGACTCTTGGTATATCTTCTCAACTGGCTTAATCCTCCACGGCTTCAGATGGGATCAATGACCTCAACAACACTCTACAACTCCATGTGGTTTGTGTATGGATCCTTCGTGCAGCAAGGTAAGAAACCTACTGTATATGAATCTCATGATGCACTAGGTGAAATATATCTTTTGAATTAATGTAAGTATATAGTGTATTAATAGTCTAAAACTACAAGAGACATAGTTCACAAGGACATGTCTGGGAAAAGGAGAAACAAGGAAACAAATTGTGTGAGAAATACTTGCAATTAATCCATAAATGCTTCCTGAAAGTGAGGATGGATGAGCTGGAAGAACTATTGGTCTTCCCATAATAGTAAACAAGAAAGAAAATAGACCACAATAAGAAAGAAGTATAGGAAACATAAAGAAAAACAGTGATCAATAAGCAGGAAACTGCTATAGAAAGAAAAAGACTAGAAGATAATAAAGAATGAAAACAGCTAGATATCAGAGACAAGTTGCTGCAGATCTGACATCCTTAAAGACAGAAACTGGGTAGTAAAACTCTCTGTGGACTGAAGAAAATTGAGATCTTAGTCCACAGTAATCACTAGTACTAGATAGGACTCCATCAACTTTCCATCTCTCTTGGCAGGAATTGAACATTTTCTTTTCCCTAGCAGTCTTAGGAGTAGAACAGGACCAAGCAGCAGCTCTTTGGTCTTCAAAAAAGCCAACAGCTGGAAATGATATCAGAACAAGACCCTTAAATACCCAGAACAAACAGGAAATAGGAAAAATAAGGTCATGGTGTAATAAAAATAATACCTAGCTAGATATATAGGAGAAGACAAAATTCTAAGGAAAGAGATATGTATAGCAGCAGTTACCTGCAGAAACTGTTAGAGAATGGATCTATATTGAAACTGTATTTGAGCTGCAAAATCCTAGAAACACTAGATTGCAGCAAAGAGACATAGAAAACGTTAATTCTCCCATATGAAGTTAGCTCACAATTTGAATGTTCTGAACTTACAGCTTCCAGCTTGTACAACAGCTGGAGGATGTGGCCTCTGTACAATTACATCCTGTGTTCCAATTGCAAAACTTTCTGGATCAGAAACTTTGTGCATGGTCACCCGTGTCCTCATCATCTCATGCTTAGACTACTGCAATTCACTGTCCATTGGGTTGCTGTTGAAGACCACTTAGAAATTTCAAATGATGTAACATCAGCTGCCGAAGTTGTTATGGTTAGATCAAAATTTGTCCATGTACCACTACTACTTTAGGAGCTGCATTAGCTGCTTAGCCTGTTAGCTTTTGAGTGCAATTCCAGATACTGGTTATCATCTTTAAAGCTCTTCATGACTTGACACCCAGATATTTGATCACCTTCTCTGGACTAAATCTTCATAACCAGTGAAACAGAAAGAGTGGGCTTCTGAGAGGGGAACGTGGGGACAGGCTTTCTCATTGAAGTTCCCAGTTCTATGGAAAAACTTACCCCAATAGTCAATTTACATCCATATTATTGGGCTTCCAAAAGGCCATAAAGACCTGGCTCTTCAGGAATGTGTTTAGGGATGTGAAAGTCTAAGCTAAACCTAGATATGGTGCAATCATTAAACATTCATTGATTGGTATGTATATTTTGGATGTTTTAATCCAGCAATTTGGCATTCAGTAGAGCTTATGGGAACTGATCAGCATAGAAGCTTTAATAAGTAAGCAAATAAAGAACGAGTGAGTGAATGAGTGAGTGAGTGAATGAATGAATGAATTTGCTGTTTCTGATTTTTGTAACTCAGATATCATATACCTGCATTCATTAGAATAGACAAGTAGGCATGGTATGGAAAGAATGAATTGTTGGAGAATAAGAGCAAAATCTAAGTTATATACAATGGTAGTTCTGTAGGTAGGTCACCCCTTCCCCTATATGTTCTTTTGTTCTCCGTTATTCCCTGAATTATGAACCCTTGAAATGAATGTGAAGTATATACTATAATATCTTAATATTTTTGTTCCTAATTTTTAACATGTGGTACCAATATAGCCATCAAATGCCCTTCCTCTTTTTCCCTTCCGTAACCAGAAGTTTAATATAGTTATTTCATCAGGATCTATGACCTTGTTAATTTGAACATACAGAAGAAGAATGAAAGTTACCTGAGACCTTCTTCTCCAATGGACTGGTAAAAAGTAATTAAAAGTACATACTGACAAATTTCCCGTGATCTTAAATTCATGGCAAAATTTCCTAACCAATCCATGTCTTTAAAATAAAGATATTTTTTTCAGGCCATAATTTTTTACAGTTGAGTGAATGAAAGCAGATTTTCTCTGTTCAGCTTCTATACATTTGCGGGCTCTGTTAACGCATTATTCATAACATGAAGGGGACTCTTTGCTGAGACACAGTTAGAAACCAACCTCTTAGGCCTCAGCCTCAGTAGAGCTTGTGTGTCCCGCAGCTGCCTTACTTGACATGCATCTGTCCTCTGCTGACTTGTCTTGCTTCTACTCTACTTCGGACCTGGTTATCTCCGAGACCGCCTTCTGCCACAGATTACCTCCCATCGGCCGATACGCTCCCACAGAGTGGGTCTCCTCAGGGTGCCGTCAGTCAGACAGTGCCGGCTGGCGACCCCCAGGGAGAGGGCCTTCTCTGTTGGAGCCCCCTCCCTATGGAACGAACTACCCCCAGAGATCCGGGTTATTCCGGATCTCCCCTCCTTCCGCCGCGCCCTCAAGACATGGCTATTCCAGCTAGCGGGACTGGCCTAAGGGATATTTTAATTTGATTTTAATTTGATTTTAATTTGGTTTTTAACATAATTTTAAAAAGAAACTGCAAAAAATCAATATTTCATTTTAATTGTATTTTAAACTTAGTATTTTGTATGGTTTGTCTGTTTTTTAACTTGCTGTAAGCCGCCCTGAGTCCGTCAGGAGAAGGGCGGGGTATAAATTTAATAAAACCTAAAACCTAAAACCTAAACTTCGCTTAAACCTACTAAGTCTTCTCCTGACCTTGTTCCCCCTGTTCTCTCCAGCTTTCGGATTTATGCCCACTATTCCCTTTTTTAAAAAAAATTGGCTTGCATTTAATAACAAATTTCCTTCCTTCCTTCCTGATTTGTCACAAATCAAACGTGAACAACATGCAAGATTGAGCTCTGAAAATTAGTAAAAGAAATAGAATAAGAAATTCAACTTTTCCTTTTTTTAGTCAATGCAAGTATTTCTCTGCCAAAGATGCCTTATGCTTTCTAATCAAGCAATGTCATTGTTTGTTTCAGTTTCATCACCGATAGAGAGGCATTAATTCAGGTAAAATGTCAAGCATTACAAGTCAACAGAAAGATGCTAACTTATCATTAATCATTAAAAATAAAATTACAGATAATGACTCTGCTTTCCACTCTCCTAATACTGCAGTAATTATCCCCAAAGTATAAGAAAATTAGAACATAATATCCAGTATATTCAGTTCTCTTCTGGAAATAAAACTAGAATACCAACATTTGCTCTTTGGAAAGCCATCTCTTTAAATAGGTAGTCAATAAACAACAGAGAAGGGATCCATCTATAGACCGGTCAAAATCTCCTGAGCTGGTTTCTGTGTAACAGAGATTCTCATTTATCACTTGCTTGGGATAGCCATTTCTTCTGAATAAGTTACCTTTTCTAGTGCATCATAAATAGCCCTTATACTGACTGAGTGAACAGGCATAGACCATTCCAATCACACAATTCACCTGGCATTGTTTATTCACTCACATTAGTCACCTTCTGCTCCTATTCTGCACGTTTGTTCAACTGAGCAACAGAAGGAATATGGCAGAATAATAAGTAGGCAATGGCAGTGCTCAAAGAAAGAATTATGTATTATGTCTTATAGCTATATATATATTTCAAGTGAGGATTCATTTCAATGAAGAGTCTCTATTAAGTGCTGCAGCCACCTACTTTGATCCAGTGGAAAGGAATGGTTCCTGTGTGTGCACAAAAGTTACATCCATTGAAGTAAAAGGTCTGAACAAGGCTCTCTCTTGACAATTTGCCTTCTCTGTTAAAACAGACACACAAAGCTGTATCACAATCTGCACAGGCCTTTTAAATATGCAAAATTAGAAATGTCACTGTTTTGAAAGACATCTTCTGTAGTTTCTCTAAGGGTAATGCTTCTAATATTTTCCATAATTGCTAAACATAAACTCATATTTACAAAAGAAAATTGTGTTTCATTTTTAATATATATTCTATCACATTCCTTTTGAGCCAAGCAGAATTAAGGGAGATGTATCTCCTTCAAACAGCTGAAAAGAGGACAAGCTTTCATTTGGCTGGAAAGAAAAGCACAATAATTTAATGGCGTTCATATTGAAGTATATGAATGTACAGAATGCTTGAATAATTAAGGCACAAAGGGCCTTGAATTCAAGTATAGCAGCTCAGGAGATTCATTTATAATGTCAGCCTGCATTTCATATTCAATTTGAATCTAGCAAAAACTGCACGAGCAGAAGCCCAATTGTTTACTACTTTCGGTGAATTCAGAATTAGGATGAGGGGAAATATGGTAATTCCCAGTGACAGATTGACTGGCTACAAAGCTAAGTCTAACTTCTGTGTTCATTCTTCAGCTGCTTTCCATTCTGCAGAAGTATTGGGGTTTATTTGTTTTAGAATAGCTAATCTTCTATGATTAATTGTGATTGGCACATCTTAACCAAGGCAATATGGAAAGTTTTAAATATTGCCATGTTCATTTAAGAAATTACTGTCAACAACTGATTTCAAACATGACACAGTAGTAATTTCAGAACTGTACCTGAATGTACATACACTGAAAAGTGACAAACTATGTCTAATTCTGGTTACTAAAGCACTTTCAACCCCCCCCCCTATTGTATTCCATACTATCAATGTATCTAAAATCTGCATCTTCCTTATTTTCTACCAACTGTCATTTCACAGTCCTGCAAACGTATTCTCTCTTGAAAGCAAGAAGTAGCTCATTGAGAGTAAAAATACACATATTTGGATTCAACTAAGGGGGCAGGCTACAGTATTTCAGTTAGAACACCACAACACTGTTTCCACCTGTAACAGATTTTATATTTG